GGGGGGGCTGAGTACCCCATAAAACGAGAGCCCCCCCTGTAAGATTTGAAAATCATAATGGTGCAGGGGGGGAGGAATCTCTGATTTTGTTAGGGCATTGTGATGGGCAGTCCAATTTTTTTTTTGCAGCCCCCCCACAAGAGTCAGTGTAATTTGAACTGTAGCCAAGTGCTTATCAGTTTCACTTTGTCAGCACAAGTGTCAATAATTGTTTCCCACCCTAGAAAAAGAAAATCTCTTGACTTTTCATATTTCAAATTAGGTCTGTTTAAATAACAATGGAGTTAGGTCCCTTGCAGTGTCTTGGTAGTAATCCTTTGTTGGGTCATGTGCCTTCTTACCATCTCTAGCCAGATGTAGGCTCTTGGAATTCCATAATATAATTCCGTTTAGTTACAATAAAACAAACGCTGGGAAGAGATAAAGACATTCATAAACATGTTTTAAACTATGGTGTCATGGATAGTTTCTGGGTGCCTTTGGGCCTGTTTCTCTCAGCATGTGATAATTTTATCTGAGATCAGCGGAGGCATTTGGAATGTACTTGGTTATGAGTTTAAGGTTCAAATTCTTGCTGCATAGGTTTGGTTTGTTTTGGACATCATGTGAATAAGTGCCTATATAAATAAAAGTGAATCTGCTTTGTTAGTGTGCCATGTAACAATGTAGAACTGAAAGCTCCCCCATCCCCAGGCAAGAAAGGTATAACTTAATTCAGCTTGCAGGGTAACTTTTTGCATAATATGCATGATGCATAGCATTTCTAAAAACAAGTTAAAGGTTGATCCACCACAAAAAGAAAGAAAATCATACTCTATACAACTAACACACAGAAAAGGATAAACGATTTATTGGGAGTGACTGCTGCTTTTAATAATATTTGTAGTCTTTTACAAGCTCATTTTAGAGCATTTTCAGGAAAGGGCAGTGGATTCTGGCTCCTTCCATTTATCTTTTAATGTCCCCAGAGGAAAAGCTGGATAGAATTACCACCAATATCACTTCTGTTGGGGTTCTATAATTTTTAGTTCTCCAGCTGGGACAGATAATCAGAAATATTTTCACTACAGTTAGCATTCAGCTCGGGAAATGTTATTTCTTTCAAGTTTTGGGGTACTAACTAACACAGTTTATGGTGAATAAACTCTGAATTGAAAGCTTGTGGGTTATGTTTCTCAAGAAAAATATTTGTTTTCTTCAGTTTCACTTTATCCAGGAAGTTACAAGTAAAATTTATTGAACTACAGCTCCCTGGAAATCTCCAGAGCTCAGGATTTTTAGGAAGCTTGACTTTATTTTTATTTTGAGCATTGGATTATTACAGGTGAAGTTTACTGTACAGACAGGAGATCTTCTTGGTAGCTGATCCAAAATTGTGGATTGAAGTGTCATCAGTACTAAGAATTACCATTGTGCCTTGCCTTCTTATGTTCCAAGTGCAAACACCTTTAGTTAACCTTGTCTTTTTTAGTACAAATACACAGCATAGTGGTTCAGATAATATATTTACATTTAAAACAATGATCTCCATAAAATTGACCCCTGGGAGTAGGAGTTGAAAAGTAAGAACCACATGCGACTGAGGTTAGTTATATAAGGCTGCTGACCCGCATTAGGTTAAAGGCATGATGAGATCTGATCTGCAATCCCAACAACTGCGCCTCCTGCTATGCCACATGTGAATGACAGGAGGTGCAATTCTGAGATTGGGTATCAGGTCTAGCTCCTGGGACCCACTGGGCTGGTTTGAACTGCTGGAGCTGGGTGCTGATCAGCTAAGTAGTGGCAGCATAGCAACTGCACTAGGCTCAAATGGGCCCTGGTCTCATCCCTTCCAGGGTTTGAGTGGAGGAAGAGTGAGGACCATGTTGGGACTTGAATGGGCCCTGGTGTAGTCCCTTCTGCCACCAGTCTGCTGATCAGGGGAAACATAGGGACCATGCAGTCCCCCTGCTGCCCTGATCAGGTGATTGGGGACTGTACCAGGGCTTGTTTGAGCCCCAGCATGGTTCCTATGCAACACATTCAATTTAAGGTGCAATGGAAACCAGACTAAAATCATTATAAAGTTTTTGTGTAATAATTTTGTGGCTCCTTTTTCTTTTATTGAGCCACTAATTGCTTGAATATGTGGCTCTGCTGCACTTAAAATGTTAATCAACATGTTAATCAAATCTTTAAGTATAATGTTGCTAGGGACCTTAAGGACCTCAGCTGTACTTACTGGGAAATGACTTATCTGGATACATTGGGTTGTTAGTTACCAGATAGCTTTGCTACTCTGTTAAATCAACCTGTACATACAATGATTATTCCTTCATTTAATATAGTTAAGCAACAGCTATCCCAATTAACTTATACATGGTCCAATAAAAGCTATCACAAAAGACCCATTGCCTTCCCAGCTATGATCCTAGATCATAAAGAGTAGCTATACATCTGTATACAGCAGCCTCAAGTCTCTTACAGTTTTACTTGGAGCTTTTTCTGTGATCTTGAAACATGGATTAACATTTTAATAAACACTTTCGTCAGAATGTTTGTGTTGCTTTTAGGTACAGTAAATGAATATGGGCTAATTGAAGTTAATGTGAGTTTTGCCATTGACTTCAGTAGAGTCAAGATTTCACACTATTTGGCTATCTGAGATTTTGAGTTTTCTCAGTAACAGCAGAAACATCACAGATTTGGGCCAAATTCATGGCTTTTACTTAGGGAGAGAGAGGCCCAGGAAGAAGCTGCAGTACTTGGCCTTCAGACTGATTTGTTCTGTTTCCTGCCATTCGAAGTCAATGTAAGTGGCTGATTTCAGCTAATTGTTGGTGTTTACTTCCTGGTCCCAATCTGGCAAGGGGGAGGTATTTGGCTCTTCATGAGATCAGCCCAAACTTGAATAACTGGGCTTCAAAAGCCTCAAGGAAAGATCTGTTTCTTATACAGAAATCTTTGCTTAGTTGTTGCACTGTTATACCATATTTCACTTTAGAAGAGCAGCTGCTATATTTTAACTTGGTGGCAGAATTCTCAGAATGTATTGTTTCTCTTCTTTTTCAATTCAGGTTAAGAATTTACTGGATTTGAGCATCTTGGCCTTCATTCCAACCATTTTCTTAGGCATCCTTGGAGGCCTGTTAGGAGCGCTTTTTGTTTCCCTAAATATAAAGATAAATAAACTACGCATGCGATTTTTTAGCTCAATTTCCAAATTGTTCCTCAGAAAAACAAGCAAGCTGTTGGATTCAATGATGATTCTTGTAAGTAAATAATAATTTTCTCAAGTTAAAGTTTGAAGTCATATTTTCAATAGATGAGGTTGTCTGGATGGAACAACAGATGACATGGAAAAGTAAATTCTGTTAGCCCAGAATTTAGCACAATTGGTGTTTCATGGAATAAAAAGGAAGTGGGTGGCATGCAAAGATTTTAAGCCTGTATGTGCATGTATATGTATATATAATGTTCTTTATTTTGTTTTTTTTACACTACTTATTGTGCTTTATCTTTTATTTTATATTTATTTTATCATATTTTGTCATCTTTCTTGGCTGTTCTTTCATTCTGATAATACTGCTTCCAGCTAGGGTTATAGAGTTCAATTCTGTTGGACTGCTGACTGTTTGCTTTGTGTGATATTGCTTTGTGGATTATTATTAGGTTCCAACCATTTTATTTCACTTCACTCTGACACAGCATGAAAGTTTTTTTGGGGTGTGCTTTCTTGGTTTAGTTGCCTGCTTCTTTTTTCTCTGTCACCGGAAAGGATGCCCTTTCCAGGAGATGCGCTGACCTTGTGAGGTTCCTTCCAACCTGACTTTTCTATGATCCTATGTTCCTTTCCCTGGCCTTTCCTATCTTCAGCTGTCAGTCTGCCAGGCCTGCTCCCTTCTAATCAACTTGTTATTTTGAAGGGTCATCTTGCTTTCATGTTTTGGGTCTTTTTTTAGTGAACTCAAGTAGCTCTCTCACTTATATCTGCAGTTTATACATGTAAAAAGATTTTAGGAGTTTTTCAGCCCTTAGGACTCTGAAATAAAGTACAGCAGCAAGACTAGTTTCTTCTCTTTTGGAGGAAGGTTTATACATGGTGAATAAGGGTTAGAATTTTGGTTCAATCTTACATTTTGAATGTTACTCAAGAGCTTCTGGAATTATCTTATTTCCAGTGCCTGAAATTACCTAGTCTTCTGCTAAGTTTTAATTGATGCAAAGGATTATTAGAAGGAATACTGAAAAAGTATGGCAAGCTTAAAAGGTTTTTATGTTTTGTAGGTGCATTTTCATCATTTCTGAGTTCATAAATATAGTAATGGAATTAAGTATTTTGGGGGGCAGAAGGAATGAAGGATTAGGAGCCTTCTATTGTATTTTATTCTGATTGCTCATTATTTCTTTTCTTCTGAGCACCTGGTTGCCATAATTTTTTTCAATCTTTGAAGAATTTTTTTGTTTTCAGATATTTTAAAGTGTCTGAATGCCTTATTGTGCTTTTTCTCTTTTTCAGAGAAACAAACAAAAACCTCATACTGTTGACATCACTTAGGCAGGCTTGCCAGCATATTTTCTGAGTTCAAACTCTATCCCCTTCTCTCCTGAAGAAGAAAAGCCCACCCATACAGATTCTCTCATCCTGCTTGCCCAAATGAGCCTATAAGCCAGCCAGTGCTTTGAGGCAACAAAAGGACATTAGTATCAAAAAAGAGGAATTATAAGGATGATTTTGGTATCAGTTACTGGATGACCATGAGAGAAAAATTATTACAGATTTAATTCTACTATTTTTTTTACGTATGTTGACATTGGGTCCTGTCTACAATAAAGTAATGTCAGTGTTGTAAGCCAGTGGTGTATGCAGCATTAAGCCTAGCTATAACAGGGCACATATTTATTTTGGTTATTATATAAAGAGAACCATATGGAAAAACACAGCAGATATATAAGCCATATTGTAATTGTGTGCCCCCAGTGTGATGGTTGTAACTGTTATGGCAGAATAGAGAGGACTTAAAACAGGGCACTGGGCCATGTATATAAAACCTGATTGCTGTGAGAGGACTTTTTATTAAATTATAGCCTGTTATCAGTCTGTTTTTTTTACCTCAAAATTTTTCGTTTTCAGTCACCAATTTACTTCATTTGAAGAAAGAAAAAATAAGTTCTTGTTTTAAATAATAAAAATCTTTGCCTTTTAGGAATAAGAGAGTCCTTGATCAAAGTAAATTCAATATTGCCCTGGAAATGGACCTGGATGTGCAGGCACAAAATAGAATTTTATTACCTTTGAGGCCTACTAAGTATGAACTTCTCTATATCCAGAAAGCTCCACACACTTATTTAATGACCACCTCTTGGGTCACACATGAAGTATTGAACTGGAGACCTTCCAGAGCTAAAAGCATAAGTTGTTATAGCTTGAGTTGCACACACTCACCAATGGGTTATACCAGTGGTGCTCAACCTTTTTATCTGGTAGGCCAGATGGGCAGTGCCCAGTCGCTCCATGGGCTGGATCTGGCTGGTGGACCCAATCCAGTGACCAAGGTGGGCACAGCAGCGCCCCAGTCAGCCACGCAGAAGGGGTTTGGGGGCATCGTGGCCCTGATCCAGCTGTGTGTAGGGGAAGCGAGCTTGGCATGGCCCCAACCCACCCCCATGGGAAGGGCGGGAGGGGGCATGACTTGGCCCCAATCCAGCCCCATGGGGGGGGGGCATGACCCATCCCCACAAGAGGAAAGGAGGATGCCCGAGCACCAACCTGGCTGGGTGGGGGGGCAGAAGAGGGTGTGGCCCAGCCCAGAACGAGTTGCACAAGGAAAGGATGTGTAGACAGTTGGGCAGAGGGAAGGGGTGCGGGCTAGCTCCGAACCAGCAGCCCTGGGGAGGGGGCATGGTCTGCTTTCACAAGGAGAAAGGAACACAGCCTAGCCACAGGGAAGGAAAGGGGTATGGCCCAGCCCCTATGGATAGGGTCAGAAGTTGCACATAAACTGGTTTAAGTGATCAGAAACTGATTTAAACCTGTAACAGAACAGAAGTTCAGTGCACATAAACCAGTTTCAAAATGACTGAAGCTGGTTTAAGATGAACCTGGTTGAATGTAGTGTCAGACTCAACTGATTTGGGTCAAACCAGTTTATGAAGCTTCTGTCCCAGACCCCTTCCTGGTTCAAGTTAAATCATAGTCCCTGAGCACGCTTTCCAGCCCTGGGCTGTGCTATGCTGTCTGCTCCAGCAGAGAAGGGCTGGGGGAGGGGGACAGGGAGTGGGGGTTAAAGCCCCCTTCCCCTGAGTACAGAGCTCCCCTGCCCTGCCCTGTCCTGCCCTGCCAAACATACTGCTGGCTGTGACTGTGGATACAAATCCCAGAGGCACCTGGAAGCAAGAAGTGATGAGCAACCCTGCAGAGTCGTCCTACTGTGATTCTGGACTGCAAATCCCAGAGACCACAGGGGCAGCAGAAAGAGGAAGCAAACGCAGCTCATGCTGGCTGTGCCAGAGAGCCATGCTCTAGTGCCTCCCAGCTCCTGGCCTGCGTCCCTGCAGGCCTGTGGCTGCGAAAAGTAAATGTCTGCTCACCTGTTAGTCAGTTTAGTCGCTGCATTTTAGATTAACCTGCAAAAACTGAATTGATTCAGCCTTGGGTTTTTTCACTGTCTGTACTTAGCCTATTTGGTTGTGTTAGGGGGAGGATTATGGTCTGGCTCTGCCCTACCCCACAGGGCTTGGGGTTTTGATGACAGGGAGGAGTGGCAATATTAACTTCCACTGCTCCCCTGCTGCCAAATTTCTTGACCCATGGGGAGTCCTGTGGACCAGTTTCCAAGGATTCACAGGCCAGAGGTTGAGCACCCCTGGGTTACACTTCTAATTTCTCTGCAAGATGACTAACAAATTTTTTTAGTATTTGAAAACTGAGGTGTGGAAACCTCTGTTTCCTACATCTCTTTATATCCAGTCTCATTGTTTGCTTATCAACTTCATCCTGCTTTTATCCCAGACTGGAGCTCAACTCCTTGAGCAGAACAATATTAAAGGAAAGGATCCTTTATGAATTTACTTATAGAAACAGTTCAGTTCTGTGCAATGATGACTTGACTAAAAGAGTAAGATCCTATGGGAAAAGGATATAATTTTTTTCAAATTGCGGTATTGTTTATTCAATGACTGCTGAATTTGAGCACCTTGGGGACTACAACTTCTATTCTTGACAATCTACATAATGTTGCTAGGAAACTGGGTTTCATTCTTTCATTATTAGCAAATATTTAATCATTTTTACTGTCCAGCCCCATGTCTGGTGTACCTAGGAGAACCCAGTTACTTTTTAGGGTTAGGTTCCTTTGCTCCCCTGGGATAGATTTCGTAGACATTAGGGCTGGAAGGGACCTCAGAAGATCATCGAGTCCAACCCCCTACCCCAGGGGCAGGAAGTCAGCAGGGATCACAGGATCCCAGCAAGATAAGCATCCAATTGTCTCCTGAAGGTGTTCAAAATAGGTGCTTGAACCACCTCCGGCAGCAGTCTATTCCAAACCTTGGGGGCTCAGACAGTAAAGAAATTCTTCCTTATGTCCAACCTGAAATGGTCATGGAGGAGTTTGTGACCATTCGACTTTGTCATCCCTTGGGGCACTCTGATAAACAGACATTCCCCCAGATCCTGGTGAACACCCCTGATAAACTTATAGGTAGCTACCAGATCACCCCTGAGCCTGTGCTTTTCCAGGCTGAAGAGTCCCATGGCTCTCAGCCTCTCATCATAAGGTCTGTTTTCTTGACCCTTGATCACGCATGTGGCTTTCCTCTGCACCCTCTCATCTGTAGTGCTAGCCAGTGTAGCACTGCCTAGCCTATCAGGATGTGGCAGGTTTTTCTTCCCAAGGTGGGGTTTGGGAAGAAAAACCACAGTGGGGGTTTGAGAAGTAACCTGGGACATCAAGCAGCTGTGTATGATTGCTTCAATGCTCACATGGTTTGTTGCAGCTTTAATTTTGAAGGGCACCACTCCTCTGGTCAGCTCTGTGGGACTACTGATAATTAGAGAAGTGATGCCCTTTGATGCAAAAGCTAAAGCAAACAGCCGCAAAGATAATCTGTAATTTGGCAATCTACTGCAATCCACCTGAATATGAATGATCCAAGTTCTGTTGTATGTTGTTATTTTTTAATAGTGTTCTATTAGTGTCCTGAGGCCCCAAGCAGAACCAAAACCAGAACCTCATTGTGTTGGTACTGAACATCATCATGAAAAACTAAG